AATCAGATTAAATGTATAGTGTCATACTTTTTACATCTAAACTCTACTCTTTATTATTTACCCTGCAGATCTGGTTTTACACCAACGACATCTTTGAAAATGCAGGTATCCCAGCTCCGGAGATCCAGTATACTACAGCAGGAACAGGAATCATAGAGATCATTGCTGGACTCATTGGGGTAAAAACAAAAAAAGAGACTTACTATGATGACAACCAAAAGGGAAAGAAGACACATACTATGCTATGAAAGAGATGGTTATATCTTAATGACCGGATCTGATTAGACAAGTCAGGAATTCCTCAGTTGTGTTTTTTACATTTTCTGCAAATCTTCTGTTTATTAATTCACACGGCCAAAATCTATTGGCTTATGGGCATACCCATTTATATCATGGTCCTGTGTGTTAAGGAGCATCTTTATGGGAGATACAGTAGCAGCCATTCAAAATGGCCCTTACCAGTCAAAAGCCAGCCGAATGGCAGCCATATCTGCGTTAACTGCGACACATGCAGACGACCTGGTTTCTGAGCATAAACCAGGCTTAAATGTTCACCAATCATGACAGAAAGAAAAAGATTGAGAAGGAATCTTAGGGGACCAGCCAAGGCCCATCAAGGAAAGTGGGGAAATTTTGAATGGCTACTACTGTAAAGGGCCCTGATGGGAACATATGTTGCTAAGACTGAGCTCCTAGAGATAAAGTGGAAGTTTATTAAAAATAATTGATAACTTTAAAGTTACCATCATTTATAAATGCTTAAGAGACCATTTGTTAATTATTAAGGTCTGTTCATCATTATTAAATCATGTATAAATTATGGTTATTGTAAAATCGAATCGAATAATTTTATGTTATGTATAGTTGAAGCTAACGTAAGGTCTGTGTCACTCTTAAGTGTTTCACCATAGAGAAGCTTGGCAGAAGGCATCTGATGATTGGAGGCTTCACCATGATGGGGGTCTGCAGCGCTGGAATCACGTTAGCACTCGTTTTACAGGTGCATGCTCAGAACAGTCATTCATTTATCAGCCAATAACCATTTTATGGATGCATTTTAATAAACATCACAAACAAAACTCCACATCTAAATCAAGACCATATGGTTGATCTACTCTAAAATCGAAGCTAATGTACCATGAGCATGGTTCAGCATAAGAGTTCAGAGTTACTACCATTGCTGCTGGAATTCATGCAGGAAGATGGTCTTTACTTTAAAATGTTATCATGGTTGCTTCATAACAGGAAGGTCCAGGGTTGATAAGGTGTCCATGGGAGTTCTTCCACTTTCCTTCAATCATCTACATAGATTCTGTTTTCATATTATGATCAGCTGTATCAATTGCAGCACTGAGATCTAACAGAACAAGCACAGAAACAAGTCCATTATCTGAGGCCATGAGAATATCATAGTGACTTTCACCAGAGCTGTTTCAGTGCTATGATGAGCTCTAAAGCCAGACTGAAACTCTTCAAAAAGTTCATTTACTTTCTCAAGAATTTAAGATAGGAAAGGAAGATTGGATATAGGTCTATAATTGACCAAGTCATCTGGGTCAGGAGACGGTTTCTTAAGTAAAGGTTTAATTACAGCAACTTTGAAAGGCTTTGGTACATATCCCTGTAACAGAGATAGATTAATAACATCTAAAGGAGGAGATCAAAGGGAATACCTCCTTAAATTACCTGGTTGGAACTGGATCTAACATACAAGTTGAAGGCTTAGACCAGGGGTTGTCCACCCAAACTGCTCTAAGAGCCGTATTGGACCGCAAAACAAAAAATAAATCTTTCTAGAGCCGCAAAAATGTAAAAGTCTTCTATAGGCCTCATATGGCAACACAGGCTCTAAGTGTATTAGCCCACGATAAAGAAGGACTACGTGGGCTTACGTATATAATAAACATTCATGATTAAATGTCTATCCTGGAGCAAATTTTACATAATCTGACTACTCTGCTGTATGGTATTTGGTGCTTTAAGAGTATATTCCTTTTCAATATTAATGTATTAGCTTTGGTTGAATTTATGCAATTATAGAAACAAAAAAAAGAAATACATTTTTTTAATGTTTTTATTTTGAGGATATGGGTAAAAAAAAATGGAACAAAGTTTCCATCCCTGCATCAGAGTGCTACCTGTTGGATCTGTGAACAGTTTTCTATGCTAGTTTTCTAACCAAACTAGCAGCAGCAGTGGAATTTGGAGATGCAATCCACTTCTTAAATCTTTCTTTGCTCTCCTCTCATTTATTCAGAAGTTCTGCAATCACGCTTTTTTACCAACTTGGTAATCGCTGCATATTTAGCATGCCTTCCCTAATTAGCATGCCTACCCTGGAAAGACAATTCCAGGGAACTCTCTTAATTATTTGACAAACCTTTCATTCCAAAGCAAACGTGCAGACAATCCTTCCACATTGGTAATAAAAGCAGATTATTCGTTCCATTCTTTTTTGAATCCTCTGTTCTCATCAGCTATTTTCCTCTTTTCCCCTTTGGGATCTGTGGCCTGTGACACACCCACCGCTTTGTTAACAACAGCCACCTGCCTGGCACCACGCATCGCTGCCAGGCAGGTGTTTGCTTTTCCTAAGTTGTTTGCTTTTCCATTTGGGTATGCAAAATAGGCGAGAATTTCCCAAAAAAGGA